GTTTGTTTGTCAGGGAGAAGAACTCTTTCTAGGTTCCACTGCCAAAATTACTAGCTTGCCTCATGCAGTCCAGGAGCCCTTCAGCAAAACTTAATGGCATCACCTAACCCTGTGTGAATTTCTGGCAAATAAATGTCATTTCTTATTGGTGGTGCCAGGCGGCTAACTTGCTGATGCACTGTAGTCTAGTCCCACTGCAGGACAGCTCAGCATGCTAACCCAGGCAGCTTGTTTCAGTCCATCACAAGGATAATGTAGGACCCTAGCTATAAATCAGGGGTTGCTGCACAGCAGCTCATTTAGACCATACTGCATCCTACAAATGGATTAATTTCCTCTCAAGAAACTGGCTGCAGTCTTGTGCCGTGTTTGAAAGGCCAGACTGGGAAGAAACTGCCAAATCTTAGAGGATTAAGGACCGGACTGAAGCTACTTCTCTGACCACTTAGACAGACCATCTTAAGGTAATACACTCTTCTATTAATTTGTTCTGGGCTTACCTTAGCTGTGACCTTTTACAGAGCCCTAGTACAAGACACTCCAATAAATAGGGCTTCAGTTAAGGTCTTCAGGGTTGTAATCATAACCCAGCAAGAAATGGAAGAAGTTCCCCTGGCTTTAGTGAGCTTAATGCACTGATCTGTACAGTCTAGCATGATCTATGTGAAGTCTTTTCTTCTCTGCAAATTAATTTCAGATTTCAATAGAAACAAATTTAAGCAAATATACAACCTGACTTCTGAGTTTCCAGTTAGTTAATCATCTCCAGTGACATTCACTAGAGGAAAATTATGGAGAACTTTATAAATTAGATTCACCTTCTATAGATACTACATCAAACTTGGCATTTAGCAATCATCTGGGGCGTTACTGAAGAAGAGAATTAAAATTTGCCATAGTCAGATATTGAGAATGCCCAGTTCCTTTCAAAAATAATCCAACAAAGTAACAAACCCCATTAAAATACTAGACAGCTACAGCTATTGCATACAAAACATTGTCATAGCTGTTTGACTTTGGCCATTTGCCCAAATATATGTTGATGTCCAAATATGTTTGGACTCTTGTCTGAATGTATGTTAATAATACTGAAATTCCCAGACATTTCTGTTGTATTGCTGCCTTTCTGCATTTCTAAAATCTAGCTTTGTATGTTTAAGTATCCACTATGAATCGTTTTACATTATCTTGACTAAATTTCATTTTAACGGTGTTATTTATTATGTGCTCTCCTGCCATTTATCAAAGTGGTTTTGTAGTCTACTCATATCCTCTGAGGATGCATAATCCCTCCCAGCTTTATATCACCTTAATATTAAGTTGGTAAGACTCTCCACAGTTGTTAATTGACCTCTCTGGTATCCTATTCAAAACATCCTCTCAAGATAATGATGAAGTATTACAATTACCTCATATTTAATTTTTAATAAAATTTTACACTTATCACACTGATATACATGCAGCATTAGCTTCCAAAAAGTGATGTGGTTTCCATTTTGAAGTCCTTATAAAACCTCTCCTCCTGAAAGAAAAAAAATATATTTTTGACTAATCCATGCTGTTTAAAATGTATATAAATGCATATAACCAGAAGTCAAATGCACTTTTTTTATAAGCTTTATGAAAGTCTGTATATGATGTATAGTGGTTTGCAGTTCCCTAGGTCTTCTATTGTTCTTCAGAAATGGGTGGGATAAGAACACCTCTGGCCTGTGTTATGTGGAAGTCAGCCTATTTGATTGGAACAGGTCCTCCTGGCTTTAGCACTTACTCATCTTCTGTTGTACTGGAATACTTCGGTGAACTGAAGTGCCAAAAGTTCACAACCTTCTCAAAATGACTACCAGTTATGACTGTGAGATAATTGATTTTTATTTTTTTTTAAATATATGACTTGGGGGGGGTGTCTGTTCAAGCTTTCAAATACCACCCTGAGAAGCTCTGTATGGTGCTAGAACCTCTTCATGACTCCTGACTGCCTCTGGTTCACAACCAGAATTAGCAATAAGCAGCAACTGTGAAAGAAGACATTGTTCTAGGGAAAAGTGCACACTCCTGGCAAAGTGCAGATCTGCTCTATCACATCTGAAGCTTAGAGCTTAGAGTATGCTTATCTTGAAATGTCCAACCCATGTTCTTCTGGGAAGCTGAGAGACGGTTGAGTAACTGATGACAAAATAGATAGCAGATGACTCTTTCAGGGAAGGAACTCTTTGTTCCCCATTCAGCTTCACAACAGTGCAGCACAAAGTGGATGCCCCATAGCTGTCTAACTAGCGATTCTTGATGGATGTTGCTCTACATAAGAGCTGTTTAATCTTCCTTTCTTGAGCAAAATCACTTAGAAACTACCCACTGCCCAATGATAAGCTAAAGGATGAAAACCAATTGTGTGAGAGATGGCTCCAGCTAAGACCAAAATTATTTGTATGGGTATTTGAAATATTTTGAAGGCTTGCATCATTGGTGCCACTGCCTTTTTTTGAAGTGCCATACCAACAGTCAATTCAGTTTCTAATCTGAGAGTTCTTCTAGCTTACCTGCTGATAATCAGCTCCTTTATAGCAGTGAATAACACCTTACATTTCTGGGTGGCTAGAAAACCATCAGTTGATTAAGCTTCAGCCAGTGTAATTTCTGTTACTCCTTGTGTAGATTGCAAGCAATATGCTATACCAAGTTATTGATCCTTAAGAAGCTCAAAAATACATCCTGGTACTTCAGGAAACTCCATCACATCACCTCTGACTACTGTAGGTCAAAGCAATCTTCTGCTCTTGGCACTGGCTTCCCGTAACAATAGCAAGTTAACTAATTTGACTCCCAGTTCTTATCAGTGGTTGAGATCCAGATCCTTTAAAAATCCTCCTAAAGGTCTGTGATAAGATTTGGCTGACAGCTTTGGTCTTCAGGTAGAACTGAGCTTTCTACAGTAAGGTGCAGTTATTTGCACAAGAGGCAGAGCTTTCTTGCAAAAAGATCTTTAGTTTTGGGATTGATTGCCATGAGAACTAAATATCACCAAAAGCCTCGCCTGATTTTTGATGCATGCACAAGGCATGCTTTTGAGGCTCTGCTGTCCCTCGTATAAACACAGTGAATGTGAGAGAGTATTGATAAAAACTCTAGCAGGGGAGGGGAAGCAGACCTGGTCTATACTGGGACCAGTTGATGTTGGTCAATGGAAGTAGAGAGTCAGTAGGCAGTCAAGACAAACAGGTTCCAGATATCAGAATTTCTTAAGTCAGGTCCTTCAAACTATGCCAACAGCGTGGGAGGAGATACTGTTGAAGCAGGAAACAAATCTGCCTTTCCTCCAAATACGGCCAAAGAAGAGGGAACTCTCCAAAAATGTGAGACATAAGCATGAGTTTTATAAAAGACTGTGTTCCTCCAAGAGCAGCTCTAGCATCCAGCCTTACCACTGGCCTTCTTATAATGCTTCTTGTGCCTTCTTGATGGGTATTTTTAATTTCATATTAAAACAGTGTCAACTGGCAAGAATGAGGTTGAACCTTCCTATATACTACATTCATTCCTGGATATCACATTAAAAAATTAATGTAGAGCTTGACAACTTAGAGAAAAAGGTCACAAGGCTGAGAGCAATGCAATGGCTTTCATGCTAGGTATAGGATGACAGGATAGGCCCTTGCCTCTTGGAAGAAAAGCAGTAGGTATTGAAGTGACAGAGATCTATAAAACTGTGAACAGCATTGAATGGGGAATAATCATACTCTGTTTCTCATTAAAAAAAGAACCAAAAAGAACTGACCAACAGCAAATGAAATTATAATATTCTATGTTCTACAATATATACTAGATAATGTGTATTTAAACTACATAACATTGTTCCACTATGTAACAGAGATATATGTAAATGGTATAGGAACAGGTCCCTTGATAGTTATTAAAATGAAGACTGAGATACAACCTTTTGCACTGGAGAAAGCTTTGATTTTTCATAAGCTGGGAAGATATCTCAGGGTACAGACTGTTAAGTAAGTGTCCCATTTCTTAAATCCTTCAGGAAGTATCCCTAAATGACCATTTCCAACACTGGAAGAGTGGGCAAGATTGACCAATTTGTGTATGAACATCCTGTTGTCCCAACCACGATTGTGGAATGGGGACCACCACCAGTACTGGAGCTAAAACAGAGGCAGGGGTGTTGGACTGAATATTGGGGTGGGGGTCTTGGCTGGGACCACCAGGTTTGATCTTGGACTGAGTGAGAGTCAGCGGCATCCTGAGGAGGGCAACAGCTGGCATGATGGTGATAAAGGGGTGTTAGAAAGCCTGGATGGGCTTCATTAATCTCCATGAAGAGCAGAGGATAAGGAGACCTGTCTTAACCAAGTCAGGTGATTGGGGGGGGGGACAGGGGGTGGAGGCAGGGACACTTCGGCAGACTCAGGCTGATCTCATAGCTCAGCCATGCAGCTGTGGCTGCATCTAGGTGAGCTGCAACCACAGATAAGCTTGCCTGAAACAAGGCCTGACAACCAGGGTGTGCCCAGTAACTCCCTGTCCTTGGTGTGTTGGTGTGTGCAGCTCATACACTTGAAATGTACCTGAAGGAGGGTTACGTGTAAGCTGTATGAATGCATCTAATCATGATGCTGTGGCAACTTGAGTTTAAATGATCTTTCAGTTTATAGGGAGTGGATCGGGAAACACGAATATATAGGTGATATCGCCTCTACGTTGATGATCCCGACATCCAGTTAAAATGTTGGTGCCTGCAGTTGAAAAGAATGCTAAAACATTGAAGCAGCAGCAGGAAAAAAAGGCTCAAAAATGAGTGAGGGGATGGGGAAGGTAATTTACCATGAGAGGCTGAAGAAGCCCGACCTGTTTAAGTAAGAAGAGGACTGAGATGACTTGATGATTGTGCACATCTTTAGGAGCAGTCAATATGCCAGGCACCACAAAACTGTCTCCAAGGAAAAGGCAGAAATCCATGAGTGTGAGCTGACGCCTGACAGCTCTGATTAGCGATGAGGAACACATTTTTAATCATGAGGGTAAGAGCAGCCACTGGAACAACAGGCTAAGCCTTCAGTTCATCAGGTCTTTACTCCAGGCAGTGTTTCTGTCCAAAAGGCAGGCTCTAGCCAAATACAAAATACACTGCCCCTGCCCCTGCCAAATCCATCCTTTATGTCACGTCGGTTTTAGCCCCGAACTCTCGGGGGGTTTAGGAGCAGCTGAAGCTGGCTGGTTACCACCCTCACTCCTGCCCCCTCCGTTCCTGTCTCCTCTGGCACCTGCATACCCCTTGGGGTGCACCTCACCGCAACCCTTCCCATGGCCAGTGGGCAACCCGTGCTTGCAGGCTGCTGCTAAAACACGACTGTTCCGTCACCAGATGAGCACCCGCTTGGCAGACCGCTGCTCGGGGGCGGCCGCCGTCCCCACCCTTCTCGATAAACCCGCACCACCCGCTTTTCTCGTAACCCTTTGGGGCACACCGAGGTCTCCTCCGGGAGGAGCGATCCCCCGGGGTGCTCCTCCTCGGCGGGCAGATTTCCGCCATCTCCCTGTGGGTT